GACCAAGAAATGTTGATGGAATCTCAGAATGATGGCGATCAGTTTGGATCATTAGCTGCATCTAGAAGTATTCCTCAAGTAGTGTTCTTTCTTTGTTTTGTGTGCTGCTATTAATGGCTTCCAAATGATAGTATTGCTGGGCTCGGATGGTGTGATTACTATATTATTTGATTGCTAAGTTAATTTGTAAGTGTTATAATTGTGTTTAAGTTCTCATAATGGTATTATCCTTCTGGTATTATTGTGGTTGATATTATTTTTTTTTATATCATTTGGGTCTTATTTAGGTTTTATCATGAGTTTATTATGGTGTTATTACGATTGTATTATGGTAGTATTTATGCATTTTAGGCTTTCAAGAGTGTTTGTGTTATTATGACATTATTACTGTAGTATTATGGTTGTATTGAGTATCATGGTGTTATTTACTGTTGTATCTAATTAGTGTTTTTAACAGAGTATTATGTTCGGTGTAAGTAGTGTTATTTTGGTGTTATCATGGTTTTATTATGCTAATATTTTTGCATTTTTTGTCTTTGAAGTATACTTTTGTCTTATTATGTATTATTTATGTGGTATTATGATTGTGTTATGTATTATGTTGTTATTGATTTATCGTTTCATACCAGCATGATTGTATTCACTAATTGGTTACGTTAAAGCGTTATTTTATCAATCTAATGATGGAACGTTTGAAAGTTGCAGCTCCCCGAGCCTTTAACGATGTGCATGGTGGTTCATAATGAGAAGGAAGCCTATGAAAATTATTGTGCATATGCACACCATATTGGATTCACTGTGTGAAAGAATCATGTTGATTTTTGGCCTAATTAAAAAATGATTAAGACAAAGGATTTCATTTGTGGTAAGGCTGGTTTCAAGAAAGAATTGAATAACAATGTGGTGGTGAAGTACAAAAGAGGGGGCACAAGGACTGGTTGTCCAGCCATGATCCGATATGTCGTTGATGTAGAAGGAAACTGGTTGATTAAGAAATTTATAAAAACTCATAACCATCCTTTGGCAGTAGACGATGACAAACATCTATTGCGTTCCAGTAGAAAAATGGGTGATGTCAGTGCACAAGTGCTCAGATTGATGACAAAATCAGGGATCAGAACAAGCGATACCTTTAGTTTTTTGGCTACAGAATTTGAGGGTGTTGAAAATCTTGATTGCACGAAGAGGGATGCTTATAATTTCATACAAAGATCATACAAAGAGAGAGAAATGAGAGAAATAGTATAATTGAAAATAGGGACGCTAATTCTCTACTTAGATTGTTCACTGAGAGGAAAGCAGAGGATATGATGTTTTCGTGAGATGTCCTAATTTTTGACACAAGTTATAGATTAAATAAATACAATTTATGTTGTGCTCCTATTGTTGGTGTGAACCACTACTGGCAGAACAATCTGTTTGGAGTTGATTTTTTGTCAGATGAAACAGTCGAAACAGTTGAATCATTCAAGTGGCTATTCAAATCATTTATTCGGATTATGGACAACAAGCACCCGATGACAATATTCACTGATCAGGATCAAGCAATGGCCAGAGTCATTGAAGAGTGCCTTCCGCCGCACACAAGACATAAATTATGCCAATGACATATTTACAAGAAATTATCTTCAAAACTACATTGTGGTGTAAGCACCAAGAAAGTCAATGAACTTTTTTATAAATGCATGGCTAGAAGGTGTAACTCTGAGGAGGAGTTTGAAGAAACTTGGCATACAATGATTGTGTTAGGAAATCTATATGAGAATGCTTGGTTGATTAGTTTGTACAATATCAGGCATAAGTGGTCAACAACTTTCAATAAGGAAATGTTTGGGATGAGGATCCTTTCAACACAAAGAAGTGAGTCAACGAATAACATTTATCATAATGCCTCTAAGCCAACAAACACCCTCACTGAGAGTTTCTTGGGTCTTGAAAATGTCATGAAAGCTTGGAGAAGGAATGAGAGGGATGAAAATTTTAAAGCTGAACAGTCTATAATTGTCCCCATTGTAAAAAGTAGTCCTGTGTTGAGGCAAGGAGCTTTAGTTTATACGAGGAAGCTATATTCAATGTTTGAAGCAGAGTTGTTACATGGTTTGTGTGGTCTTGCTGTGGAGTGCTCAACCACTTCAAATTCAAAACTTTATTTTAGAAACTTAGATAATGAACACACAGTCAGATCGTGGATTGTTAAGGTACATAAAGGTAATTCTGAAATTACATGTAGTTGTAAAAATTTTGAAATGATGGGGATATTATGTGCTTACACTCTAAGAGTGTTTAACCATGCTCAAACTTACAACGTCGTTGCACACGGTTTTGTGCATCCGGTTGGGTAATGAATCATACATGTTTCACTTCCGCTCACCCAGATCAGTAACCAATAAAACCTAGTGTTGGTTATTCAGAACAAGTATCATAATGATATCAGCTTTCAGAACTGCTTCTTTCTTCTGCTCCGTCTTCCCTTAACCCTCTGTATTAAGCTGGCAATGGACCGTTCAACTTTATCTCCTTCAACAGGGGTTCCTTCTTCCACAACAGCCGACGGCGGGATTCACTCTTCTCCAACAGAAGTTGTAGGTTGGGTAACATCAACAGAAGCTGAATGTTGGGTAACAAAATCATGAGGACTCCACCCATGAGGGGAGGCTGGCTGGGGATCATCTAATCCGATCTCTTCGCCTGAATAATTTGGAATATTTTCAGATTTATCAAACTTATGTTGCAGCACCGACATTTGCCCCTGCAAACTCGACACTCCAGCAGCTATTGTATTCAAGGTTCTCTGAAATTCAGTGAATCATTTCTCTTAGCCTTTAAGCAGCTCGACTATTGATTCCATGTTTTTATTTATTGTGGTATACAATGGCTCAGGGGCGATGTCCCCTGAATCAATTGGACCCATATCAAATGATACATGTGCCTTTGGTTTGCCTTGGACTTGCGTCACCGGAACTGTATCAGGTAATCCTTCATCTGATTGGATAACATATTGAGCTCATCCTCTTTCAGATCCAAAAATTTATCATGAACCCGCGAGTAATTTCAAAAAGAAACGCTTTGATCATTAATAGTTTCAAAATAATATAATAATTTAATTGGAAATTAAAGATATATGTAACTTGCCTGATCAGGAGTCAGTATCTTAAAAGCTATATCAAGTTGGGATGAGCTTAAGCTTACAGTTGTTGGCCACCTCAACATTCGAGGTCTCACCTTTCGAGGTCTAGCCTCAGGATTTGCAGGAGTAATCAAAGAAGTGTGCTCATAAAACTAGAGTTATTGTGAAAAAAAGGCATATTCAACTTTACACAAAGAAATAATTTGGCTTTAATACGATGTACTTACCGTTAGCAAAAAAAGAAAACCATTTATATATCCCAGAGGCCGGTTCCGCCTTATTTTGATGGCAATCGCATTTATTTGCTCAATAAGATATTCACATAGCGCAGCGGGCCAATTAAATGAAGCAAACATATCTACATTCTCTCCAAAAATGTAAAGTCCTTTGGATACACTGAAATTACTATACGGAAAAAATAAATTTGATAACAAATAATTTATATACAATTGATTAAAAGGGGCAGAAGACTCCCCAGTTCCGAAGTTTAACAGTTCAACCTTCATTTGACGGGCATCAACGCCACAGGATGAAACTTTTTTCCACTTTGGAACTTCTCCTCTATTTGGCATGTCAATCAAAAGGACAACTTCATCAGGATTAATCCTCAAATCTTTCCCTCCCAGTCTGAAAACCATTTTTTCATGTATCCAACATTGCAATATTTGAAGTGTGATCACATTGTCTTGGGGATAAGGTGGAAGTGCAAAGAACTGATCAACATTTAAGGTTTTCAGCTCATTCCTCATCTCGTCAGATACAGCAGGTCTGACCTTATTAAGTGCATCTCTAACTACAGATGGTCGACATCTACAACTCGTGGACCTTGGGTTCACAAACAATTCTAGTGTTACTCAGGTTTAGTACTTAGGTTATATTATAAAAGTTTTTCTATTGTATTCAGGTATTAATATTATCAAGGTTATATTCTGGTAGTTTTTCCGTTGTATTCTGTTATTATTATAATATTATTTCTGTAATACTCAAGTAATATTATTAAGGCTAAGGTTATATTCTAGTGTTACTCAGGTTTAGTACTTAGGTTATATTATAAAAGTTTTTCTATTGTATTCAGGTATTAATATTATCAAGGTTATATTCTGGTAGTTTTTCCGTTGTATTCTGTTATTATTATAATATTATTTCTGTAATACTCAAGTAATATTATTAAGGCTAAGGTTATATTCTAGTGTTACTCAGGTTTAGTACTTAGGTTATATTATAGAAGTTTTTCCGTTGTATTCATGTATTAATATTATTAAGATTATATTCTGGTGTAGAATTAAAGTTATATTCTGGTAGTTTTTTCGTTATATTTTGCTATTATTATAACGTTATTTTTGTAATACTCAAGTAAGATTTAAGGTATTGTTAAGTAGTGATTGGTTTTGTATTATAATTAAATAGCAAGTTTTATTGCAGTTTAATGCTAGTTTTTTAAGGTATTATTTTGTGCATATGTGTACAACTCAAAAACACCAAAATAAAAATTATCTGGATGAACCCTCTTGAATTTCCTTCTTTTTTCGCTTTTTCCCTTCATTTTTCTTGCGTTTCTCGGCCTGCATTGTCGATTCCTCTTCGGTTTCCATTATCAAGGGCTCTTCCGTCTCCATTCTCACTGGGCTCTCTTCGGTTTCCAACAACAACTCTAAAACCCTAAGTTTATCTGATTCAAAAATCCTAAAGATAGAATGAAGATCGAATGAAGGTGCTCCGTGCTCTCCTCGCTCGGGCGTCGTTTGGTTTTCAGATGAAATAAACTTTCTTTCAGGCGCGTTGTTAACTTTTAACTGTTTGGGGCCAGATTAGGGTTGGGTCGCGTTATAAACATGCCTCAATTTAACGTTGTGGTTCCGGCGTCAAACCTAAAATTCTTCACTGTGCAGCTGATAATTGAGGAAGAGAGAAAAGTTAGCAGCCACCACCGTCATGAGTTCGACTAAGGCGGCGCCAACTGATGGCATGATACCCGTAAATGAAGCATTGGCCATGGTGCTGCGCGCGGCGGCGCGTCTGCCGTCGGTGAGCGTTCCCCTTGTAGACGCTTTCGGACTAGTGCTTGCTGAAGACATCCGCGCTCCCGATCCCCTCCCTCCTTATCGCGCTTCCGTCAAGGTTTTCTAATCATCATCCTTCTTCCTTCGCATTCCTTTTCAGAAAAGTTTGATTTGGTTTTGTTACTCTTTTTACACCATAACTGTACTTGCCGCTTGGTACTCTTGCTTGTTAGTGCAACGACTCATCACTTCCCCCCTTTTCACTTGCATTTTCCATACTTATATATTGATTTTTTTTTTTTTCTGTTGATCGAAAGCATTATGAGTTATTGGCCAGCAAATAAGTTTCAACTTCTATTTTTTTAACAAGGTTAAATTTGAAGGGGTTGCTTGGTTATAACTACGTTTTGATGAACTCCAATTTATGCAATCCTGTTAAGTCATTAATTCTATAATCAGAATGTTTAGTTTTACAGAATTCTAATGATTTTCTTAACCTTAGAAACTGTTTGCTCTCTGTTAATCTTAGTCAGAATGTTTAGTTTTACAGAATCCTAATGTTTTTCTTAACTTTAGAAACTGTTTGCTCTCTGTTAATCTCCATGTAAGCTTCACAAATTTTAATCCGAGCAAGTCACGGTCTGAGTCAGTCAATCGTTTTCCGGGGTCACTATAGACCGAGATACTGCCACCTATGTCAATTTTAAAAAAAAGATTGTCCTCCTCATTATATGGTTGCCTTGGTTTCACGTGCACACGCACGCGCGCACACACATGCACAGACACACACACATCGGTGAGAATATTTGTTGAGATGGATGCTAGAAAGTATATACAAAATTTATGTGTTTTGGACAGCTCTATGAGAGTGTAAACGAGTTGTAGCATGACTCAATGACTTGGTGAGTTTAAATTTACCTCTTGTAGCTTGTTTCCCTCATTACCAATTTATTCGATGATCAAGACCCAAAATCTTGGGTTTAGGAAACTAAAAGGACTCAGGATAAGGTTAAAGATGATGAGGTGATGATTATAACTCATAGAATTCAAGCTATGGAAATTAGGGTTCAACCGTACTTATTTATGAAGTACAGTCGCTGCTATAGATTTTATCTCCAAGTTAATAATTTTTATATTTGTAAACAAATTCTTTTATTGGTGTCAAATTCATTAAATCAATAAAAATTAGCAGAGATGAGGAAATATTTATAAGATTGAAGCCTTGAAATTAATTGAATAGAAATTGAGTAGATGGTGTATTAATTTAGTGGGTAGGATGATAACAATAATCATTCAAATTATTAGGAGATAATGTGGCAGAGGTGTGATAGATTTAATTATATTGAATTTATTATTTGGATGAATGAAGATATGCATTATTTTATGATATATATTTTTGAGTTAAGTCTTTATGATTGAATATGTGAAATGCCTTGGGTGTTTTGTGTGACTAGAGGATATCATGGAGATTTAGGGGCTGTTTGGCAACTATTGGGTTTCAAGTTATTAGGATTTGTTAAATTTTGTAAATATGTATTTATCAAATCCTGAAATGGTTAAATCCCAAAAATATTTGTTAGTGTATTTAATAAATTCAATTAAATCTCTAAATTTATTTGGCAACTTTTGCCAATATTTAAAAATCTATTAGGTTTGTTAGATATGGAAACATAATTACATTCTGTTTATTTCATTACTAAGATAGAAAATTGTGACAGGAAACTTCATATACACTCCTATCTCTATATATTAGGAATATTTCTAATGTAGAAAGATTCTGTAATTATACATCATCTAATTGTGTTATCTTATTTCAATCTTCCTAATATTCACACTTCTTAATATATACCCATTAAATTTAATACTTTCCATAATATTCTCCCTCAAGCTGGAGCATAAATATTTATCACGGTCAGCTTGTTATAAATATAAATGACTCGAGCTCTTTTAATAGTCTTTGTGAAGATTTTATCTATTTTTTTCCTAAATTTTTTGTATATTGTATAAATCAACATTTGTTGAATTTTTCCACGAACAAAATGAAAATCTATCTGAATATGCTTAGTTCATTCATGGAAGACAAAGTTTGAAGCAATATAAATGTATCTTATCTATCACACAACTTTGTTAGAACCACCATCTTAAAATTTATTTCGGTCAGGAATTGTGAGACCCATATCATTTCGCCTGAAGCATGTGCTATTGCTAGATACTCAAATTCTTTATTGGATCATGACACTATATTTTGCTTCTTAATATTCCATGAGACCAAATTATCACCAACAAACACAATATCCCATAATAGGTCTCCAATCAATTTTGATACTTGTTCAATCTACATCAGAGAAACATTCAATATTTCTATGCCTATGATTCTGACATATAATCACTTTTCTAGGAGCTCCTTTATTGTAACATACTTTCTATTCCAGGGCTGACCGATGATGGACTATGGTGGAAGACATGGACTAACTTATAATGTTAATTAAATACACAATGTCAAGACAAGTTATTGTGAGATAGTTTAATTTTCTCACTAACTTCCAATATCGTTTAGGATCACTAAAATACTCTCAATCATTGGTAAGTTGTCGATTGAGAAGCATTGAACTACTTAATGGTTTGACCCTAATTTTCTTGTTTCTTCTTACAAATACTTCCGTTGAGATAGAAATGTACTCTCTTAGCTCTTTGATATCTCAATCCTCAAGAATTATTTACGGAACCCCGATCTTTAGTAACGAACTATTTTTAGAGAAATAATTTCAATGATAAGATTCCCCAACATCACTTCTATTAAAAATAATGTTATTAATATACACCACTAACAAAATAATCCCAGAAGCAGAATGCTTGTAGAATGCAATGCGATCACTTTTACTTTTCTGCATCCCAAACTCTTATACTGCTTGACAAAATCTTCTAAACCATGCCCGGGGTCTTTGCTTCAATCCATATATGACTTCCAAAGATGACACTTTCCTAGACTGCCCCTTGAATAACAAACCCATGAGGTTGCTCCATGCATAATTCTTTTAAAAGATCAACATTCAAAAAGACATTCTTCACATCAAGCTGGCATAAAAGGTCAATTATTCATTGCAGCTAAGGATATGAAGAGGCGAACTGAAGTCAACTTAGCTACCTGAGAGAATGTGTCCAAGTAGTCATATCTATAAATTTTGAGCATAGTCCTTAACAACCAGCCAAACTTTGAGGCAAACTACAGATCCATCAAAATGAAACTTAACTGCAAAGACCCATTTACAGTCAATAACCTTTTGTTAGAGGGTAATTCAACTAGTTACCAAGTTTCATTTTTAGTTAAGGCATTCATTTTATCAAACATTGTTACCCACCACTTAGAATGGGATAGAACTTGCTGAACAAATCACGAGACCTCAACAGAGTCAAGGGATACAATAAATGAGCAAGAAGTAGAAGAAAACTGATCATAGTTTGCACAAAAGGAAATGGAATAGGCACATTGGCGTTTACCTCTTTATAGAGCAATATGTAATTTGAGATTATTAGGAGATGAATCCACTAAAGAAGAAGATATTGCTGCCGGACTTGGATCATGGGACGAGGTTTTCTCGAGCATACATTAGTGATAGGTGCTCTATGCCGAGGCGCTGGTCATGGAAGTGGAGCTGAATTAATGATTTTATATATTAGCAACTCATCAGAATCTTGTGAGGATTTAGACAATGACTATACACCAAAGTATGGGGTTTGTTCATGAAGGCGACATCAACAGAGAGCATATACCTATTTAAGAGAAGGGAAAAACGTCGATACCATTTTTGTAAATGAGAGTATCCTAGAAAGACATTTAATGGCTTAGGATTCAATTTAGAAACCTGTGGATGAGTGTCATGAACAAAACAAGTACACCCAACTATATATTGTTCAATGGGAAAGAAATAGATAGTTGAAAATAGAACTAGGTAGGGTATTTGATTATGTAAAACAGTAGAAGACATTTGATTGATCAAAAAATATATTGTAGAAATTGCATCAACCTAGAATTATGGGTACATTAGTTTGAAACAAAAGAGCTCTAGCTATATTAAGAAGATGTCTATTCTTTTTTTTAGCTACTCCATTTTAGGATGGAGTATTGATACTCGATGACTGGTGAAGCATATCCCATTTTATGTTATTTATGTCTGAAAAATTACAGAGAAGTATTCTTTGATATTGGTACTTCTCAGAATCATAACATTAAATTCTTAGTTTTAATTTCATCACAAAAGGTTTGAAAATATGACAGTAACTCGGAATTAGATTTCATAATGTAAAGATAAGTCATACAAGAAAAAATTATCCACAAAAGTGATAAACTATCAAAATTTATTAGATAAAATAGGACTAAATTTCCATACATCAAAATGGACTAATTGAAAACTATAACTAACTATATCATCAATTATGGGAACAAAATAAAATGATGTTCTTTAGCAAATTGACACGGGTTCAATCTAAAGATAAATGTTGAAATTGAGGATATAATACTTTTAGTATTGATTGTGATAAATACCTTAATCAACAATGGACCTCAAACTGAGATAAGATACTGGAACAAACTATAGGTTGAGATAGTTTGTTATCCAAAATATATAGCCCCTCTGATTCTCGTACTTTATCAATAATATTCTGTCATATGATCTTGAAGAAGCTAATAGTCAGGAAAGCATAAGATATAACAATTATGAACATGCATAATCTTCCTATGGAGACAATATTAAAAGAGAGTTGAGGTAAATTAAAGATAAAAGAGAGTTGAGGTAAATTAAGGACACATCTTAAAGGTTGTGTAGGTGTAACATTAATGGCACCAGAATTAAGAGCATAAGAGATAGATCCATTTGCTAAAATGACAGAAGAAAAATATTTATGAAAGGTGGAAAAGTGTTCTTGATTACCTTTTATTTGAACCGAGGCATCAAAATCAATGACCCATTATGTGGAAGAGAAAAGAAGACAAATATCATTATTATCTAACTCAAAAAGGGTAGTGATAGAGGGAGATTTCTTAGATAATTTCTAAAATTGGATGAATTTAGCATATTCAGTTGCAAAATATCGAGAGTCTGAATTTGGGAGGCCTCATTAGCAGTGATCATTTGAGCTGATTGTAATCTAGAAGTCTTCTGGTTCTTTTTGAGCAGCTTCTGACATTTTTTATTTGTATGACCAGATTTATAGTAGTAGTATTAAACTACCATCGAACTTTGATTTCTAAAATTTGGACTTCCACTTCCATAATTGTCATGATATTAAGTTTTATTGATGTCTATTTTTTTGGCGAACAAAAACACTAGGCTGTTGTTCAGATGTAATAGTACATAACAATCTAGTATAGGCTTCCCTCTGATTATTAACTACAGGATCACATAGGATATGTGATATGACACCTTCATACTGAAAGTTGAGGCCAATTAGAAAACTCATAGTGACCATTTGTTCTTTTTATGCTTGTGGAATCCGAGTATCAGTACAAAAGAGCAATAGTGCTTTCAATTTTTCATAAACACGTTTAAAGTGCATATGATACGTGTCAATTGATTGATCTTGTTGTTCAACTCTATATAACTTCATGCATACATAAAAAATTCGAGAAATATTTTCTCTTCCAGAAAACACAAATGTCAAATCCTACATCTGATCTTTAACACTCTCACAATAAGTAATATGTCCTGATTGATCAGGTTCGATAGAGTTCTGTATTTGTATCAACAATTGAGCATTAATTCTCATCCACTCCAAATAATTCAAATCAGCCTCAGCTGGGAGATTCTCAATGAGCCGACTCTCATGGAAATACTTTTTAAGTTGAGTTTAACTTTTTCATTCACCATTTAACTTTTCATTAGTAATTTTAGCCATTGAAGAGATAAGATTGTCACAACATGTTTCTGTTTACTAGCCATAATTATCACCAAATATTGAAAGGGACCGAATCACCTAATCCCGCCATTTGTCAATAAGCTGTCAGTGACGAATGATACCGGTTCAAATGCCAGTGAAATCTATAGTGATCTTGAAGAAGACTGCTTTGGAGAAGACTTTCAGACAACAGAAGAAGGGGCCAAGTCCTGGAACCCCTAACACAGGGACGAAGAAGGCGACGAAAGAGAACAACACTTATCACAAAGAGGAAGGCGGCGCCATAGAAGAATGATGCCACAAAAGACAAACAACTCGCGATAGATGCACTCGATTGCAGGAAGATGCCGAGACGACGAAATACCTACGACTCATTACGATTGTTCAACAAATGCAGACGAGCATTCTAGATATGTGATTCATACCACACAGACACACCGACGAGCGATTCTAATGAGAAATATGAAGCTCAGATCCATACGTATGATTTAGACCATGCAAACGATGTTGATGAACGATTCCAACTACAAAAATGAGAAAAACTTCTTATTATTCAATTGAAAGAATATGGTACATATTTATATAAACTCATGTTTTTATATATTAGGAATATTTTTAATATAAAAAAGTTCCTGTAATTAGATTTCCTCTAATTAGGTTACCTAGTATCAATCTTTCTAATATACACACTTTCTAAGATACACCCAATATATTTAATGCATTCCATAACAAAATTAGTTATTAAATATAATTAAAGTAAAGTTAATTTTTATTATTAATTATGCTAATCAATAATTAATTATTTACTAAAATAATTGATTATAATGAAAATCTTGTTAAACTAATTATTTATTAAGCAATAGTTTAACATTTTATAAATAATAATTCATTAATTATTTATTATACTAACTAATAGTTACTTAAAATTTCATTAAAAAAATTAAATTTTAAACATGTAATTTATTTTTATTAATTAATTGTTAGTGTTTCATGTAAATCTATTTAATTATAATTAATTTGATAGTATATAAGTTAATTATTAGTAATTAATCAATTAAATTAACAAGTATTAACTTAAATTAAATTAAATTAAAATCATAAACTTATCTCTCCTTTCCCCTCTCCTGCCCAAAACTATCGTCTACATCCCTCCTCTTTCCCGATTTCACCTAAAAACATCGCCTTCGTGGACAAAGCCGCGCAAGTAGGGCTATTGGGAAGGTAAAGATGGGATTGCGTTGTACAATGACCATCGAAACTCCTATCTTTCTCCTCCTACTGCTCCACTGCTACCCGAAACTATTGAGAACGGTGAGCGTTCTGTTTTGTTTCCACGAATGCATTTCCGGATTTAGTAATCCCCTTAATAGCAAGATTTACTAAAATTGGGACTTTGAAAATGGGGGAAATATGGGGATTTAACTTGTCCAAATTGTTCAGTTGACAGGATTTAGCTGAAATCTTGTTGTAAATCCTTTACTAGACAAAACCTTGACGTAAAATTTATATAGGCTTACTTAGGCTGATGCTGTATGCATTAGATTGTTGGGATGTAAATTCGAATGTAAAAATACCATTGATATCAGAGATGAGTGCAATAGAGATAAAAATGTTAAAATGGATGTGCGCCAAAATTAGTAAATATAAATTAGGAATTATTATATTGAAGGAAAGATTGGGACATTTATTGAAGTAAGGAGATTGAAAATAGGATTTGCTGGCTTGGATATGTGCCGTGAAAGGATAGAAAATTCATTTGTTAGATGTGTTGATAAAATTAGTGTCAGAATATTAGGAACTAAAGGGTAAGACCTAAGATTTCATGGGTAGCAGTCAGATGTTATTTGAAGGATGAATATTACAGTTTAGACAACACTCGGTAAGTATGAATAGAAAACAAGGAATTCATTACTCCGATCTCAAATAGTTGGGATAAACTAATGATGATGATGAAATCAAACAATTCTTTAACAACAATTACATGATTTCCTGAGGTACCTCACATTTAAATATAGGATCTTTTATTATCACTTTCTCTGTGGTGATGATGGGGATCACATATCAATTTTTATAAATTCTGCTCTATTAATCTATGTTTGGAAATTTTCGATGTAGTTTAAAACTCGTGGGGGTATGGTATTTTTGAAATAGCTTCATCTTTTTTTAGATATTTTCTTTCTCTTAACATTTGCTATTTACTATTTTTGAAAATGAAATTGCAGGATGGATATGCTGTAGTGGCTTCAGATGGACCTGGTGAATATCCAATAATTGTTGAATCAAGAGCTGGTAATGATGGTGATGGTATTGAAGTCACCCCTGGAACAGTAGCATATGTGACAACTGGAGGTAATAATTTTATGACAAGTTGCTGAATAGCAATTTTCTATGTCTTAGCCAAAGACCTGGCGAGAACTCATCATTTTTTTTGGTTAGAATGACCTTAATATTATCTTTGTGCCTGCATTGATAAACGAGATTTCAGTAGCCTAACAGTTTTAGGAGTTCGAGAAACATTGTAAAATGAAGAGATTTATTTAAATATGGGAGGTAACCAGTTATGAAGGGTGTTTTTTGGGTTGATCTCAAGTAATATTCAACATGAATAAATTTAAAATTAAGATTTTTAATGCCGACCTTAAATAGCTGGCATAAGCTAATGTTGATGGTGATGATGATAATGTCAGTAAGAGTACTTGTTCAATGCAATGTAGAATATTAAATATGCCACATATGCTGCCTACCAACTTACTTTGCCTCATATCAATTCATTTATTGAAGCATAGGGATCCAAATACAGCTATTTCCAGGTCTAGGAAGAAGGAACAATAATTGGAGTTATTGTAATGAACTTTCATAACCTTTGTGCAATATGATATATATATATATATATATATATATATTTCAGTTATCTTACGATGCAGATTACACTCTTATTTTCTCATAAAGCTATCAAAATCGACAACTGATTTATGAAAATGCTGCAGTGGACCGTCGATTTTGATCCAAAAGTGGAGTCATCTATCATTTTTGTTTGGATAAAGTTTTCGAGGTTAAAACTACATCTGTTCAACTTAAAAATTCTCTATTTCTTAGCAACTGTTTATGGTAAGTCCCTCAAGGTTGATAGTCCTACGCTTGCTGTCATCAGACCCTCTGTGACTTGTGTATTAGTTTAGAGAGATATCACTCAACCAGCTCTGAATGAGATATGGATTGTAACCACTCACAAATGGTATTGGCAAAATGTTGAAATAGAACCACACCCTCCTTATTGCTCTTATTGTAGTATGTTTGACCACAGTTCTACTATCTGCTATCGCTTGCATTCTCATCTAAGGTCGGATATTGCTAAAAATTAGCAACCTGTTCAAAAATCTTTTCATACTGGATTAGGGGTAGACTTCTTGCCACCTACCATTTTTGCTAAGAAGGTGCAACATGACCCTCTGTCCAACATCGCAGTTTCTGAAAAAGAACACCATACCTAATCCGTTCTACCTCTGGATGCTCTTACTTTTGAACACTCTATTCCAGCTGCTGGTTTGGAGCATGGTACTTTGGAGTCCCATGAAACATCTCCCCATAATACAAGTACAGATCCAAATGTGTCTATACTACTTACTGTTATTGAAGAAGACACATGCCAAAACACACTACAGTGCTCCTTTGATTCAATAAAAAATCAGCTGGTACAACAAGTAGTTGCTTCAGTTGCTTCTAATGTTCGCTTCTAATGTTCAACAACTTACACATGTCCAACACACTTTAGACCAATCCACTGACCTTGTGAGCCAGTCTTCGGATGAGGAAGGACAGGTTTATTCCAGGAGGAAGAAGAAGAATGAAGGCCGACTCGAGGGCCAACTCGAGCTCAGGAACTTATTGGACGATACATTGGCATAAATTAGTTACTACTGACAATGACACTCATCTTACCAATTTGTTAGCTAGCTCCTTTCCTAGAACTAGAGTCAGAGGCATGGCGAAATTGGGTCGCTCTCTAGCAACCTGATACTACGTGTTTTGGCCTTCTGGTTTTTTTTTTTGGGCTCTTATTTATTTTTCTGTATTTCCTTTTTTGGAACCATTTGCATGTGTTATTTATCGTGTGGGTAGAGTGCCATGCTTGAGCCCTCTCACACAATCTATTTGTATCCTTCTTTCTTGTTAATATATTAGCCCTTGAGCTTTCTCAAAAAAAGAAAAAAAATACACACACATACACACAAATATATTGTGTGTATATATATATATATATCTGTGTTCGTGCGCATGTGCGTATGTGGATATATTTAATAACTAAGAGCTAATTCACAAATCTTGATCTTATTTTGTTTTTTCTCATGATTTAATGATATAAATAAAAAAATATAATTTATTAGTAATGAAAAACATGCTATTCATGTAGAACATAAAATATTAAATGCAAGCATCCCGACACCTACTCTAATTTATCCTCCAAAGGAATAGAAAATAAGGCAAGATGAACAAAAATTACTGGAATAAAGCATCCATGTTTATCAGTTGATCACATATATTATAGCTCCTTAATTTTGTGATGAGGTGATTGACCATGTAACAATGCTTGTTCCTTTTTTTGATTTCTTGCTCATGAGATGTTCACAAACAATGGCTGGTTCTATTATTTGATCCTTTTAGTACTTTGGTTTACTTTTAATTATTATTTACTTTCTTCCGTTCAAACTTAGTTTATTTTTAATCGTAAATATGTAAGAATGACTCTTAAAGCCTTGAATGAAATTTGGTAAGGGTTTCTTCTTTAGAAAATAATAATTTTAGAGCCGCAACTATATATAGTAATTATATTCTTTTTCGCCATCAATACTTTTCTTCCACTATAGCATTTAGTATTGTGAATAGATCAGTGTTTCTATGGGAGCAGATTACTTCCGATTATTATCACCACCATGATGATGATGATGTTGATAAAACACTCGTAGTCTTTTCTCCGGGATTTTCCCGAGGTTTTTGATGATTTTATTTGAATTCTTATCCGTCGATTTTCTCGAGCTTTTCGCCATGGATTATTCGTTGATTTTTCCCGAGTTTTTCATCGCGGGTCATTTACCATCCTTTATCGGGTTTTCTGGGTGACGTTTCTTTTCTTCCTTGCTCTCGTTTATATAATGCATTTCAACCTGTTTTCTCAATTTTTGTTATTTGTACATGTTGCATCAGCTACATCTAAGGAACATCGGATCCCCCAGGTATGCAGGTTTGTTTTATGTTTACATCATGTTACTTTCTTGTAATCACTTTCCTGCTGTATCGTCTATTTTTTCTTTAAACCACATGTTGTACTGTTCTCTTTACTGCATACTTTACTATTTGTCCTGTGCTACATACTCTATTGTCTTTCTATACACTGTACAACTTCAACCTGTTCCCCTAGAATGTTTAAAGAACTATAACCATAGAGCTGCTTGATTTGACATCATAACCTGACATCCTAGAAAACTTAAACTCGAAACTCGTCACGACAAAGAAGACAAAGAACTTGGAGCTAGCGCGATGGGCAGCACGACCATCTTCAACAGCAGAACATGTCTTCCTCAGCTAAACCATTCCTTCCTTGTTTATAATTAAACAATAATTCATATGATTTCGAGGTTGTTTGCCTAGTGCAACATAGTTCTTAACTTTTCGTTAGACATTTGTACAGTTCTACTGTGCAATCTAAGCCCTAACTCATTTTAGGATTTTGACGTTGTCGTTCGTCACGACCTAAATTCTCATATCTTTCAGGTTGTTTGTGTGATCGTTTCATACGAATGTAAGCTCGAATTAAATATAATTGACATGATGAAACACTTGAATAATTTCTCCTCGAAACTGAAGCCAAACCATAGGGTAGGCTGGGAAGTCACCGAGGTTCTTTTTTGGATCTGTGACATGTCCTAGTTCTTTCTTCTTTGGATTCTATAATAAATGTTCCAAGTTTGAACTATTCCCCTGTGCACACCTCTTTGTCCGATTTCGTTGAAAGGTCCTATCCTGTTGATCTCCATTCTATAATAAATGTTCCAAGTTTGAACTATTCCCCTGTGCACACCTCTTTGTCCGATTTCGTTGAAAGGTCCTATCCTGTTGATCTCCTTGAAGATAATTTTTTCTAATTTTTATCGAGAGTATTTTTAGGTGACTACATTTGTCTAAGATGTAATTAACTATAGGGGCTTGCCCTTATAGGAAACTTTTCCAATCCCAGCTTAAAATAAACCATATTTAATTTTTCATATTAAATAGGAGAATTTGTAAATAGGATAGGAGAATTTGTCGGCAAATAAAACGGTTTTGCAGACCAAACGGATGTCATAACTTTCTTAGTTTATTTGATCGAGTCTCACCCTCAAGTCTTATGTTTATTCTTCTGGATAGATACAGGAATTGAGGTAAAACTCTCTTTCATTTAAACTATGAAAAATATGTGGGAAAAATATGTGGTCAGTTTGATTTTCATATTTTTCTAAACTTAAATCTATATGTAAATTAAACGTCCTTCCGAAGCGGGCGACGGGATTTAGATTCCGGCAACCGACAACTTCCTATGGGCAACTCTCTCAACTTTTTTTTTGGTGCCGACCCATACCTTAAAAGGTCTTCTTGGTATAAATTCAAATTTCTAAAGCCACCAATTTCACTTTCTCTCATACCTAACACCTTAATCTTCACTTTTTTGATTTTGTGTTATAACCTGTATGAAAACTTTCAAATTACTTTTGACGCTTCTGGCATAAGATCAACGCCCACGACGACTATCGAAAACGAAAAAAAACATGAAAAATGAGGTAAATGTCAAAACAACAGGGCGAGGAAGAAATGAAGGTCTAGAATAGCGAGGAAGAGAAATTCATACTGACTGATACCTCTTCAGAGCTTCAAATTGCACCGTGCGGCTTCCCTGACTGTAGCTCAACCGTCCTGCTACAATGCAAGGTTGCAGGTCTTTGCGGGAGTTTCGCGGGAAGCTCTACGTGGTGAGGTCGAACAAGGAGAGGGATAGGTTGAGAGAGAGGAGACGAAATCTCGGGAAGGAGAGGGATTCGAAGCTCAGAAGGCCCCAATCAAACTAAATATAGAGTGATATGTTGGTTGTGAACCATGCTCTTGCCGGATTATGAGAGGAATTAGAATTAATTAAAGTTTAATTGAATTTATTAAACGTATAATATCAATATTATACATCTCCCAATTCGTTAACAATTCATGCATGGGGCTTTATATGGAATTGTTCGATTTCATGCTTAGAATTTAATAAAATTATTTTGATCGAATTCTGGGAGATGAAAAATTTGGCATACTTTTCCAAATTGCCGAACTTCATCTAATTTCTTGAACTTTGGGCGTTATACCTTTCTTAGGAAAGATCCTTGCTATTTTCCTTTTGAAGCCAACAAAAAGTAGGGAGCAACAACCGCAACTGCTTGCTGTGATACCAAGGATCAGGATGGCATGCATGGAGGGTTGGAGAAGAGTTCCGTCATTGGAAGCTGTAGGGAGAAGCTCTGACGGAAGGCCTGTAAGTGCAGGGAAGATTTCGACATTGGATGGCTGCTGCAGAGGCCTCGGCGGCTGAAAAAAACTTTGGGTTTGTTTCCTACGGCTTTGATAATATGTAGAAAATTGGTTTGGAGAGGAATAATTCTCTTGATTTTATTTGTCATATGTAGGGTACATATATATAGGGCAAGCAACTCTCATAGTGTACAAACTTAGCAAATATATCTAACCTAAATTATGAAAGAAAATATTCTAAAATAAAAAATAAAATAAAATAGAACAGGAAGGGAATAAATTAATAAAGAGTTTCGTAAGTTGTCCTAATTAAATCATCTAAGATCTTCTCAGATTTCGTTCGGGATTTTATCAGGTTTTCACAGAAAACAACTTGAAAGCAACGGCTAGATTACCGAATAATAGCGGTCTAAAATCAAAGCAGTGAAAGAAATTCCCTAAAGAAATCCCAAGTCTCATGATTTATCATGCATATTCAATTAACCAGGTGCACATGATGCATATTTATGTGGCTTGATGTATTTTTAATACAGCTGATTTTTATAAAGACAGTATTTATAGCCTACAATATGTTGTTTGTTTTAAGTTACATTTTAATGCAGATTGTTGATAGTATGCTCATAGTAATTCTGTGAATATTTTAAATGTTTTATGATATTAATGTTACAAGGAAGTTTTTAAAGGTTCATTTCATGTGGAATTTTGCAAGTCATGTTGTCCTATGTAGAGAGGGGTAAAACTCCTAGTTTAGTCGCTCTTAATGGCCCAAAAGAGTTGCTTGACTTTGGATAATTGTATGGTGGAGTAATTCAAGCATTAGCTTGGAGCAAGAGGCCCATATCAATGATTGTGATTATACCGACGGGCTAATGATGACCTTATGATGTAGAGTGGTTCTAGTTCAGGCCACTTATATGTGTCAAAATCCAGACGATCATTATTTAAAACTTCTAGGACCGACTAGTATAAATGAGAACATAAAATGAAAGGAACAGTGATATTTTGATGCTAGCATTTTACTAATATAATAATTTAAATTATTGGACCTTTTTTATTGTTTATGATTGAGCCATTTGTTTGTTAAATTACCAAATAATGTTTTGATTTGATATTTATTGCACAAAGCTAGTTATGATTATGGATAGCGATACTCATGTTCCCTTTTATTTTGAATGCTGTATTAGACCTACTTTGGCTATTGTTTTGGGTTGGTGAAGAGAGTAAATTTGGCCTGAGTAAGGTGATCAAGTTTCGTCTATCATTTCAGTGTTTTTTTTGTACATTTCTGATATATCTAAGTAAAAACTTGTCTATGTTATATATTGAAGAGGACCGATATGACTAAATTATCTATATGATGTTGATTAGGAGTTCCACATTTTATTCTGGTTGAATTTAGTTATGCATGCTTCGTAATAATAGTTTTGATGGATTTATTTGATGACCATGTAATCAATTTTAGGTTTTGTGACAATTTAGACAGATTGGCTTTCTAACCTCTTGATCTAAAAATGATTTTTGGTGTGAAATGTATTTAATTGGGTTGCCTGCCTCCTGCTTAATTGAGAGGAGTTGAAATAGAGCCTGATACATATGATATTATATTCAATTACTAGCACTTTGTATGATTTGATCATTTTGAATTCCATTTTTTCTAATTTTACTACATATTTTGTTTAAATCACCACTAAGGAATAGTCAATTATTTGGAATTTTTTTGCTACTAAATGCTCAAATCTTTATCACAAAAACCATTATTTTTTTCTTTTCTATAATTGTTAGCTTTAAATTTTCATGATGTTTTCTTATAACATGTGCCCCAAAAGCTTCTCTTAATGTAACCCAGTTAGATTGTGCTCCGTGATCTTCTTTTGCACACCCGCAGTTTAGAGCTTATTGTGAAACGAAATTTAAACTAGCTCTTTAGTATTTACTTGCATGTGTAACTCCTATTGTAGGGGATCTATCCATGATTGTAGATTATTTTTTCATGTAGTTGTGTAAACCAATATTATATGCAATTAAACTTAGCTAATAATCTTTGTTGTTTGAGTATAGCTTTAGTGATTTATATCCGCTAGACCTTCCAAGATGGTAACGTGGTATTGAATAAATTTTAAAAATGACAAACATGAGATTGAATTAAGTAATCGACATTTATTAAAAAAATTATAAAGCAACATTATTGCCGTTTAAAACGATGACAACTTACATGCACGGCAATTTATCGCCTCTATAAGCGGCGGCAACTTTTAAATGATTATTTGTTTTGATAATTTACGATGGACATATTTATTTATTTTTTGATATAAAAATCTCAGTTACAAAAATATTGACATAGCCCATTCAAAATGCAAAAAGCTATTCTATAAAAATTTCATGATTGGTAATTTTAATTAAAATATTTCATTTAAAATTTTAAAGTAAATGATATTTTATAAATAAAAGAGTTAATTTTTCAAAAGAGCTTGCCCTTTAAGTTCAAAATAATAATTTTTCGGCACAATTTTTTGATGATTTTTTTTTTTTGAATTTTGGCAGAATAAATTTATATTGAATGAAATGATTATATATCCCATTCATAAATCTAAGAAATCCCCATTTAAAAATTTTAGTGCATGCATACTTCCAAATAATATATTTGATATTGTTTTAGAATAAATGACATTTTATAATTCATTTATAAAATTTATAAGAAAGATTACCGTAATATTTAATATAAAATTATTATTATTGTCAAAATGAGATTTAGTGTTGTCGGATTTTTGAATATATCAGATATGACCATCATATGATTTATAGTGGGGAGTATCGTAGGAGGGCATTTCTAGAGAGTTATCGTTTACACTTTCAACATTTTTTGGTTTGGATCTTTTTGGGTCACACCAGGTACCCCAATTCTTTCACCTCACAGCATGGCGGCAGTCCTGAATGCTCATCACCATGCCATTTTTTTGTGCGCATCAGTTTTGGATGCCTATCATCACTCTAGTAATGCAGGAGCAATAGTTTGTCATATTCTTTTCAACTGTCACAACAGCGGAAGCCGTGTATGTGCCTGAATATTTAGAGCAACAACACTATTAATCTGGGACAGATCACAACATGCTCCGGATTACCACACTTAGGGCCCAGGCCGTGGAGCCCTTCCCCTCAGGCAATACTGTAGCTGTAGTAAGTCATACATTTACATTGTATGACAATTGACAAATGTATGATATATTTTTTTACATTTTTTTTACTTTGACATTTGATATATATTAAACTTTACTTTTATTATATATAGTTTTTATCTTTTATCATTTTTTTTATGCGTGGTGATTCTTTTTAAAAATTTTGACACACTAAATCTCATCTTATTAGTAGCATAAATTTATAATAATGTTATAAATCACTAATAAAATTAATATATCAAATTTAAAATAAAAATTATGATAAATTTTTCTTATAAATTCTGTAAATCAATTTTAAAATTTAATGTATTTTTAAAAATAATATGAAATATATTATTTAGAACTATGTGCGCACTAGAATTTTTATATTAGGATTTCCTTGATTTCTGTATTAGATATGTAAATATTTTTTGAGTTCTATTTTTTCAAAATTTTTATGAAGAATCCTGGAAGAAATTGTGCCAACAAAATTATTTTTTTTAACTTAAAAGTTACACTCTTTTAATATATTAAATCTTTTATTTATAAAATTTCATTTATTTTAAAGATTTAATTAGAAATTTTATATAATGATTTTTTGCATTTTGAATGAGTTATGTAAATATTTTCTTAACCAACAAGTAAAAAAAAAAAAAAAAACTACTGTCCTAAATAATCAAGACTATTGACCTTTAAAATAAAATTGCTGTGGAATTGTCGTCACACAAGCAATTTATTGCTGTTTTAAAAGACGGCATTGTATAAATGCTGATATTTAATCTAATGCGGTTTCAAAAATTTCTCCTAGAATTTCTAAAATGATATATTAAATATGTTGGTTTTTAAAAAATCCTCCTTGGCAGTCTGTTTACTTGCTGGGCAAGATTGCTAACATGACATCCTTGTTGCTTGCTGGCTGGCGAGGTTGTTCTAGGCTTATAATGTTTGTTGCTCAAAGTTTACATGATTCGGGTCTGTCTTTTTACTCTGGTACTGGGAGATTTCATCATAAGAGGTTGATGTTGGTCTTCTGTGTGTTCTACTTTTTCATAGAAAAGTGTCTACAACATAAAGAAGGAAGCATTATTGCAGAAGTTAACCTGAAACTAAAAGCTTTCTCAGTGAAAAACAAGGATACAGAATGGGGTTTTGTGCGCATTCCTTCGGTAGACTGCTCCACCTCTTAGTTACTTAAATCGAAATGATGCCACTATCGGAATAGGGTTTTGTGCACATTCCTTTCGTGGACTGCTCCATCTCTTAGTTATTCCATGAATAGAATTGATGCCACAATAATTTATATTTATCACATTATCCTAATTGGCATTGTTATGCTACCTTTCAGGACCAGTACCTTATGGTGCAGACTCTGTTGTACAAATTGAGAATTCTAAGCCAGTGAGTGTCACTGTAGACGGAATAAAGATGGTTAAGATATTGGTGAAAGTTCCGCGAGGACTTGATATCCGTGAAGTGGTATGATTCTATTATTTAAATTTTCTAAAAGTATCCATTGTTTACACAAAATTTCATAAAATAAATGGCTTGCATTTTTTAATTCGAACTTTTGTTGCCAAATGGAATGCCAATACTTTGTTTTTGGTGTAATGAATTTTTCGGAGTTTGATGTGCAAACACCTTTAACTTCACTTTGGAATATTATGCGCGGCACTCATTTTAATAATGTGACACCTTTTTCCCTTTGTAGAAATTCCTAAAATATCAATGCACTTGATATTATTGCATTGTATTTGCAAAATTTCTTGTCTTGTTATATTAAATAGTTTGAATAAAATGGATGTACATACTTTGCTCTCTATTTGATTCTTCATGTATTGTTGAATTTATAGCAAAGCTGTAAAAATTTTACTGTCTTGAAATGACGCATGATCTCCTTAGACTAATAAGAGACTTCTGTAGATAACTGAATAGTGAGATTCACATTGAAACTTCACGCTAATATAAAAAAAATAAAGAACTATCCGCACATTACCAACTCTTAATTTTATCAGAGTTAATTGAATTATTATTATTTTTTTTAAGAATATTGTGATAGTCACTGCATTCTAAAATCTTACATGAAAATAGTGAACAAATATAAAATTTCAACAATAATCAAGATTAACACTTCATTAAGGAATTAAAATGTAAGAGTCGACAAGACTTCAATCATGTACATACCAGCCACAAAATCAATTAATATTTAGAACAAAAAAGAAAATTAATAAAAAAAGATCTAAGTCCCATGCCAGCATAAGTAGCACCCGAAGTAGTTGTTAGGACGTACGAACTACTTTTAACAACACACAAGTATTGAGAAACACTAGAATTTTATTTCACTACTTTATATTCATTATTTTCTCATGTCTCAATGGTTCTATATATAACACATGGATGATCCAAAATAAGAAATTCCTTAAATTCCTCTTATATATAGCTAAACGCTGAATGTTTCTATTCTCCTCTCCCAACATTTATGTGGGTTTCGTAGTTTTCAAAGTTGTATATCCTTTAAAGGAAAGACCATAAGAGGCAGCAAACGATAATCAACTTTCAAGTACTTTCGTATTTAGTGACTTTTATCTAAGTTTTATGAGATTGTATCAGTATTTAGTGACTTTTATCTTCTATGACACTTGGACTGTAGCATTCAGTGTCTTGTTTGCATTGTCTGGGATTGCTGCAATTAGCAGCGGCAAGCAAAAACTGCAGCAAAGGAAGTAGGAAATTGTAGTTAGTAAAAAATAGAAGAGAATCTAAAAAATTTGAAGCCAAGATTGTTTATGATTTTGATTGAATTGGAACCCTCACAACAGTAGATTAAACTTAAAGAGGAAATCAAGCAATTAGAACGACTTTTTCTCATTAGATTGAACATAATTGGAATGATTTAATATAACTTGGAAAAAAATATGTTACAAACTAAAATAAAATATAAAGCAAATTAATCATGCTCCTCATGAAGTTCAGTTTTCATGCTTCCACAACTATTAACTCTCAGATATGTGTCGCTTGGGCTTTTAGTTGCTCTCATATTTTGAGCTACGATTACTTTTTGAATGTTGTATTTCAGAGATGTTGCTATGTTTGTCTTTTATTTTAGGCTTCAAGTTACGTCCTATTAAGCAAAAATTGATTCCTGTATTTTTTTTATATGTCACTTCTTTGTTTACCTTACCACCTGTATTGCATATTCATGTTTATTTCTTCTTTAACTTGTTCATATTATGCTGTTCTATTCTTTTAGGTTTCCATTCATATTCTGAGCTTCTCCAATACTATTTTGTGCTTATGATTCATAATTATTTATTTATTTATTTATTCAATTTGGCTTAGTAATATGCCTTGATATATTCATTGGTATGTATTAAATGAGGCAAAGGGAAAGTGTGTGTGTGTGTGTGTGTCACACTTTATTTGATCCCCCTCCACTCCAATGAACCAGAGATAAATAGAGAGACAATTCAGTTAAACCATCTTTCTCCAATGCTCATCGTGATTCTTATTACGTAGGACCGAGTAAATAAAAATTTAGTCTATCAACATTTTCACAAAATATACATTATGTTTCAAATCCTTTAACTTATATCATAAATAATAACACAGAAATGTGCAGAGAGTAATTATCAAAATAGAATATAGAGCTTATAAATAAACTGCAAATATAAAATTATTTCTATAATTTTTTTTAATTTACATCATACACACATCTATAGGTGTCCAATCAGGTTCATGTGTCATGCTCGTGATTGACTCGACCTAAGTCCAACCTAATATTAAGTGGGTCGGAAAGTTTAACCTGAACATGACTCACCCTCTTTCGCCATGCTAACACGTACTCGACTTGCATAACCCATTTAATATATGCATAGTAGTTATTTGGGTCAAACTCGAGTTAATTTCAAGTCAATTTTTGGGTTGTTTGTCAGCTTAGGGTCAATTTTGAGCGGGCAATTCAACTTGAACTCGATCTGAAAAATTAAATGTGTTGAGATTTTTGATCTGAAGCCTACCTGAAAATTAATCGAGTTAACCTGAACTTAGATTTGTCGTGTCGAGTTTACATGTTGGGTTAATTTTTGACACCCCTACACATCTACCTTCTACAATACTTCTTAAAATGTAGAAAGTTGCTTTAGTATAAATAAAATTGCTTACCTGTTACTATTCCATTTGCTCCTTACTCTTTCCTAAATCACAATTATAATATTTGATGAACCTAAAGCTCAATGACATAAACAAATAAAGCTCAACATACAAGACAACTAATAATATACATGGTAATGTCTGGGTAACATAAACGTTAATATTTCTAATAACAACTAGCTTAGTAAAACAATAACATTAAATAAATACATTTTGATAATCAAGCAAATAATATTATGTTAAGCATTAAATGTAATAGTTTGTCGTGTCAAATCCTTATTGCACTATACCAGTCCATTTCATATACGAATTTATTTTTCATATTTTTTTTTAATAGTTTTAGCACTCATCTTCTGAGAAATATTAGCTAGTTCTACCGCCATAGGGAATTATAGCTCGATATGCGAATGTCGTTGATGAAAAAATACAATCTAAATAAAAGGACAAGCTAGCTCCCTAATGATAAGCAAATTACTTGCACCACCAATGAGAAAGGAAGAAGAACAAGATTTAATGATGCCAGAGCCATGGCTTTGGGGCTCCAATTACTCCAATTACTCCTTTATTCTAGCAGATATCAATTCTAATCAGATTCCAAACTTGAAGTTTACCATCGATAAAATAGATTTTATCCTATTATTTCTCGGGGTGTCAAATTGGGTTCACAGGTCAGGTTCGGGTTTTACCCAAAATTGACCTTACTTGAAACTACTTGACCAGAACCTAACCTGAATATTAAACAGTTCAGAATGTCCAATTTGAGACTTGAACCCTACTTGTATAACCCGTTTAACATAAGTCATAACAGTTATTAGGGTCAAATTGGATCAAATTTGGGTCAATTTTGAGTTAATATTTAGTTTGCGGGTTGATTTTGAATCAATTTAGGGTTAGTGGGTCAGTTTCGGTTGAATTTTGGGTTAACATGCCAATTTGAACTCGACCCGAAAAATTAAACGGCTTAAACTTCTAAACCTAAACTCGGCTTGAATATTATTTGGGTCAACCCGAATCCAAATTTTTTTTGTTGGGTACGGGTCGAGTTGGCGTGTCAGGTCAATTTTTGACCCCCCTACTTATTTCTTATAGTATATGATTTTGTTTATAGCTGATGTAGTAGCAATGACTAATAAGGAGTGTTTGGTAAACAAGAGCGCATTCATAGATAAGCACGTGAAAGGTGTGGCACTATGATCAAAGTGGTCATCCAAGACTTGAATAGTGTAGAAACACAGAAATTTAGTCAGAGAGGCTGTGCATAGTGTAGAAACACACAAAGTTAGTCAGAGTTGGAGGCTTTGAAAACACATTGGGAGCAGTAGGGATGGAGTCACTGTCATGCACCATTGTGACGACGAAGATGATTGATGGATCCAATGCATGCAGCATGTGACTTATGGAAGCCTGCTAAATCAACTAAAACCATCAAAATATAGATATAAATATTATTACAGTGCGTATAATCATTCACATTACTTCAAACATTTTCTACTTGCCTTATGTTTTTTTTTTTTAAATTTTATTTCCTTATATTTATGCACATGGAACATGACTGATTTACTTCCTAAGATTGCTTAATTACATGTATGGTACACTGATTATGGTGTGCCTTTTGTTTAAACATTTTTCTGTCTAAATTCAGATGCTTGAAACATGAACGATTTACAGTATTAATTATCTTATAGCTGCAGGTTTTGTTATTTGTTTGTAAATTATTTTTTTGCATCTGATAGAATGACGAACATATTATTTAATCAATTAGACAGGGTTCAGACATTGAGAAGGATGCTGTGGTGTTGAAGTCAGGGGAGTTAGTAGGTAGTGCAGAAATTGGTTTACTTGCTACTGTTGGCGTTACCATGGTGAAGGTATTATACATTATCATACGTTGGAAAATTGGGGTGAAAATAAGGAACAGACACTGCCTATTATTAATTTTATATGTAGGTGTTTCCTAGACCAAGGGTGGCTGTACTTTCTACAGGAGATGAATTGGTGGAGCCATCAACTAAGAGTCTAGGCCGAGGCCAGGTGTACTGTAGTTCAACCTAAGTTGCTGTATTCTTCCATTGTAGCTTGCACGTCTTCTAATTTATAGAAATATTCACTTCAATTTTATTATGCATGCGTTAATTTATAAATTTCTTATACAGATCAGAGATTCAAATCGAGCTATGCTACTGGCAGCTGCTCTTCAGCAGCAATGTAAAGTTACAGATCTTGGAATTGCTTGTGATAACGAAGAAAACATTGATAAGATTTTTGATGCAGCCCTTGAATCTGGGGTTGACATATTATTGACTTCTGGGGGTGTTTCTATGGGAGATAAAGATCTGGTGAAGCCTATGCTGGAAAGAAAGGGAACTATTCTTTTTGAAAAGGTAGCATAGTATCTCCTCGTATCAAAATTTCTTTTTATTCATTCTGCTGGAACTTGTGTGCTTGTGTTTTTTTTTCCATGCTGGTGGAATCAATGGAGATTTTTTAGGCTGTAATAATGGGACCATAGCATAATGCTAACCGTTGAAGTACTTAAGTGTGCACTGACTGCAAATTTTATTTCATTGTTTGCATGTTATGTCTTCCATGTAACCCTTGAGATGTTTGTGTTTATGGATGCCCTGGTTTTTGTTTCCGCTAAAAAATATATAGATATGGAAAGGCAGTTTTGATGAGTTTCTTCTTGAGCTAATTCAATGATTTCACTCATTTTGCATTCATTTTTTTGCTTCAATATGTCCTCTTAGTTCTTTGCTTGAAACCATTTCATTACTTACGGTGTATTAAATGTTCCTCTGGATATTCCTGATGCCGTTTGGACTAGTCAATGATAAAAGTTTTCTGTCATTTTTTTTATAAAACAGCTGCTGCTCGAACTTCAGAGCATGTATGTGCATGCAGAAACCAGAACTCTACTCATAATGTGTGAGACAATTCATGGATCAATTTTTTTGGTTTATTGTAATGTTGTAATTAAGACCATGCACCCAAATCCTTCAGAGATGCAAATATAGAAATGTAATTATTTATTGCAAGAACTTAGCCGGATAAGTTGGGCTGTGGCATTATTTATGTGATTTTAGCTGAACCACCTTTAGTTTTAAGATGGCCATCTCATATTTCAAAAAAATAATTCTTGAACTATCTTTCAATTCAAGTTATACATTTATTGTAAGTAAAAATTAAAAACTATGAGCATATCTGATGTAATTTTTGTAAATATGTTGAGTATTAGACTGTCTGATTTTATGTGTGATACCGATTTAGAGTTCCTAAACAGTGTTAGAAGGATCAATAAGGGAATTTGGAAGGTTGCAGGGGAGGGCAAAATGAAAAGAAAAAAGGGACAACTGTTTGGGGAAGAAAACAACAGGGAAACAAATCGACTTTCCAGTATGAAAATCTGAATTCAGAACCATCTTAACTGCTAGTTACGACATGTATGGCGTCGAGGAAAACCCATAACCCATTCTTAATCATGTTATAGTTACACCACCAGAAAGAAAACATGACTAGAGAAGAAAAATCAAAGGAGACAGTCTCTAATAACATAAAACAAAACCAAAAGTCCCCAAACGGTTTTATCACAACATATATGTTTATACAGAATAAGTGTGCAAGATAATCCTAATCTTATTCCTAATTAGGTAATAAAGGAGCCCTTAGGGTTGGCCGCCCCCCTAGAAACGAGAAAACCCTGAGCCTTTAACCGGTTCAGGTCCTCCTACATAGCCCCAAGATGGAAGTTCCATTCCGGGTTCCCCTGAGGCGGAAGAATCAAGCTGGCATCAATTTGTTTCAGGTGGGCTGACTCTGAAAAGAGGTGATACTATGACCTAGAACCTTTGCTTGATTAGATAAGAATCCTAGAAGCAACCAACCGCCAACTACTTGAAAAAGAAAAAAAAAAGAAAAAAGAAAAAAACAAAACTTTGAAGAAGAAACACCAACAAGAAATTTGCTTTCCAATGGATGCCCTGAGATTGGATGGCTGATGCTGCTTATTACCGAATTCTTGCAATCCGGCCTTCAAGATAAGTCTTTCTTTCTTTCTTCAAGTGTTTCAACAAAAGGAATAACAACAGGGAAAAAAATTCTGGTGGTTAGTACACCTTTCCTTGTCAATTTCCAGCACCAATCGCTCGCTGCTGTGCCTTCAAATCTGTTGTGAAGTGCCGTTTGATTCCTGATGTTGGATATCCAATGTTCAGGTTTGCTGGACTTTCCTGCAAATGAGAAATCTGCTCAACTGGGAAAGACAACAGTTGATTATTGTTCAAAAGAAACAAGATAATTAATAGAAAAGAAATAGGAAAACAGAGATCCTGCCAAAGATCTAATGTGCCTTTAAAATGCCTAAATTATTCTTGTCAGTTATATCTGTTTGAACTCCCACTTTATCCAGAGTAGGAGCTGCTGTAGTAGCTGCTGTAGTTTCCTTATTTCCAGCCACCTGGAAGATCAAGCACTACTTTCCAAAGCTAACTTGTCTCCACATAAATTAGGGCAGAGATAATAGATTCTTTTCTGCCAGTATCAAATCAAAATGATATAATGCCGACCGAATATATAAAAGATAAAACACCTAAGGTAGACAATCTCTACCAAACCTTAATCCTAAGATTCAAGACAAAAATAACACACATCACATAATCATAACCATATTAAGTCTTATTTATACCCCACAATAATAACAAACAAATGACTAAATTACCATTTTAGCTTTGCAACTAACATAAGTTTTCAAATTATTTGATGGACGACACCATAGGCGTTGCTCTAACTTTATTCCCCTCTCAAAAAGACATTATCCTCAAGGTAGAAGAGAAAAACTTGTTGTTACATCATGTTGTATGACTCCTATGTGGAGTCATAATCCGACAATACTTTTCATTTAAGCCGTATTTCTTTCCCACCTATCGATTCCAGGTGCTTCCCTTTTAACTCAGTTGTCTTCAATAGAACTTTCCTATCCTCATTCTCTCTCAGGATGTGCCCGATACATAAAATATAATCTCTTGGTGTAATCATGCCCTTGCCATGTACAATTTCTCTCATTATTCGATCAATTGCAGCACCCTTACTGACTCCCAATAAATGGACCTTAGCCGATCGATTGCCTTAGATGATATCAACACCTACATAATATCGGATCTATTTGTAGATGCCGTAGCATGATCCTTGCTTGACTTCTTCCAAATTTAACATATGCACACTTTTAGTTCCATAAAAGTGAGGTTTCCCATTGCTCAAGATCTAGGAGTTCTTTTTTTGTAAAATACTTGAAAACATACTTCACATTATCATCCCAATCTATGTTAAGATGTTCTGATATTGTAGTCACCCACTCTCCACCTGTAAAGCTTAAAAACATCCCATTTTCTATTGTCAGCTACATTGTTGTCTCCAAAATTATTATCTAAGACACTTCTATCACTTTCACTTAGAACAACAATTGTAGTTTTTAGATCATTGCAATGTGTTGTCAACGCGTCTTTTAAGTCTATGTGAAGCTCAAGCTCCATCTCCTTAATTTGACCGCCTTCTCTTCTACCAGAAGATTCAACTAGCTCTATTAGCATTGAATTGAAACCTTGATGGTAGTTGTACGGGGCACACACTGATGGGAGAAACCTCCGATCTTAGGGTTATTGGATTCTCGTGTTTCCTTTGAGGCGGCAATCCTCACGACAACTGGAGAACTTCTACAAAATGTTGTGGGAGCTGTTGAATTGGCGCCGGAATCACTGCCAACTCCGTGCCATGTGTCTCTTTCTTATTATTCAACTCTATCAAGAATCCCAACTCTGCGTCCTATATTTGCCCTAATCATGGTTTTGAGTGCACCGATGTCTTGTACAAATTAGGGTCATTGCAAAACACCACCATATTGTCTGCAATTTGCAATTCTATTGTCAGGATTTTCTAATTCATCTTATTTTTTCATAAGGATTGTAACAGTTTCATATCCAATATTACATCAGTGCTCCCTAATTCATGAAAAAGAAATCCTTCATCTCTTGAATATCTTGCAACACCCATTTACGAACTTCTCTGCTCTTCACCTATTTTTTCCCCCATCATGACCCCAAAACTTTCTTTGTTAACCATCTGAAGCCCCAATTACTTCACGAGTTGTGTAGAGATGAAGTTGTGGGTGACCCTCTATTTACCAACACCACTATGCACCAACACCATTACGTCTTTGTCTCCGATCTGTACCTGACGGTTTATAGTGTGGTTCGGTGTTAATCCCATCACCGAATTCAATGAAACTTCTGCCACATCAAGTGAGGGTGTTCTTCCTCCACCACTAGCTCTGTTTTATCCCGTTCATCCTCTTCATCACATGTTGTGAGGACTTGCATGGTCTGATCTTTGCAACAATGTCTTGGGGGAAAACTTCTCGTTGCATTGAAAACATACCCCTTGGCTACTTGTCCTAATCTCTGCCTTTGTAATGCATTTGAATGTTGCCCCAGTCGTGGCCTATTATTCTTGTCTTATGGGGCTCCCATCTAAAATTATATTATTTGAGTTTTTGGCGTCATCGTGGTTGTAGCATCTCGATATGACATTCCACTTGTGCTACTCCTATTCGCACGTTTATTGCATTTTTATCTTCAACCAACTGCGCTAATTTATAGTTTCTCTTAATCATCGCGGTCTCAACAAATGAAGTGCTTCTCGAATCTCTAGCTTCATCCCTTTCGTGAAGTTTCCTTACATCATTACTTCTGATATCCCTCTTAAAGAACCGGAATGTACATGAAATTTCTTCCTTCAATTCATAATGGATCATTCTTGGACCAACACAGAAAATTGCTCATGTAGATCATCTTCTTGCATTATTCTGAAATGCTCAAATAACCGGTATTTGAATTCTTTCCATGTTCTGACTGCTTGCGAGAGCCTTTTCTTCAAAACACAGGGCCATCACCATCAATTTTTTCCCTCTATCAGCCCATTAACAATAAAATCTCTCCACACCTTTAATCCAACCATAAGCATCATCTCTTTTAAAGATAGTATCTTCAGCTTCTTTATGCACGAGTCTTCTCTCCAATTTTTTCGACCAAATCTTCTACACCTATGAAGCGGAGGATCCGATTCCGTTTCTTGACCCATATTGATTTCACTTCTTCTGTAAGTCTAGCTCACCCTATAATCAGGTTGCTTATACCCATGAACCCCTGAATCACCTTCCACCCGAAAGGCCGCTACAACAAAATTCATTGGCGCAGTTGGATGCAACCCTATGGCGGGGACCCACCCGACGTAGTTCCCTATACTAGACTGAAATCTTTCTATTCGATCTTCTCCAGCTTTGAATTGCACGTCGTCCCATTCTGTCTACAATATGAGAGGTAGGTGATCGCTT